ATTCTAACTTCATTTTGCACCTGAAAGAAGATACCATAGCATTATACAGAAACAGCATTCGTTAAATTTGTGGAGGCAAAGGACCTTGTGCGTCCTCGCAAATCATGCGAAATCTAGTTGAATCATTGTCTGCAAAGGAGGGATGACGGCGATGACACAAAATGGCCAGTGGTAGACGGAATGCACCAGCAGTTACGATGTCATCAGAAACCCTCAGAAGGAAAAGTAATATGATCCAACAATTACAGTAAGAGCAATTTTTATCATATGGCCGTCTGAAAAGTAACTGTAGCTTAGTAGTCCTTAATAATGCACTGCTAAATGCGGCCTCAACGCTAACAATTTCAGCTGTGTTATTGCGTGAGGATTTTCGCCTAAAACTGCGGCGTCACCTATGAAAACGATTCTGTCTCAGTAGATTTGGATCTACATTATATTCGATTCACTTGCACTTATATGCAATATCGCCCTCAACGTTGTCTTTCGTATTCTCTGTTGATGGGTGTGGGAAATATCGGAATACGCCAATAAAAATTGTTCAAACCAACGCACTAATGGTATTGTGTGTACAATAGCAGTGACGCAATGTTCCTATTGTTACTCTGACTCTAACTGAAAAATCGCACTTGGTGAAGGAGAATGAATTATAGCTTGAATTAGATGTCAACATAAGTGATTCATTGAAAGTAACCATCAGGCTGTTGCTTATGATGGGGTCATATAGATCGCCCCCACTGAAGTTGTTTAACTTCATGTATTTAGTAAAATCGGCAACTAGAGTTAAACGGAATAAAATGCACTTCACAACAGCATTATATGTCCAAACGATTTGGTTACTATTATCGTGTATAAGCCAACATCCTACAAAAGCAATTTTTGTGCAGTACACATGTGAATATAGAATGGATATTTTAGCGTGTTTAACTTCAACCCCACAGTTTAAGTTGCCTAATAAGTTAGTGAAATACACAATTGTTACCATATGGACCCATTCATTACCCAGGAGAGAGCATCTACTTTTCTCAAATTTATATTTTCTTTGATGGTATCTAGGATGTCTTATGCAAACATACGTTTCATTCACGGTTTCGTGTGAATTGCTCCAATGCCACCTACACAAAGGTAGTAATGCGAAGGACCGCACCATACCGCACCGTACACCATTTTTCTTCACAGCAAATATGATCCACTGTCCTACGACTACGCAAACTTTACAAACAAACGCCACCAATGTACAGACTCTTTCCTTGTATCACTCATCCCCATTGTTACTTGATTATTCAACTATGAACAACTATACCTCCGCCAATGAGGTTGTTCTCTGGTCACCCGTCAACTCAATCACACGGTGCTCGACAGGGAGCTGCCATCCACGAATTCTGCCATCTTCGCTATTGAGACCTGAAATCCAGCTCAAACTAGCAATTCACAACGTGCGCAAATTACGGAAGACCGGACAGCAAACTAGAAATGCACACACGCTGGATATCCTTGAAATTGATGTTTGCTGCCTTAATGAAACACGACTGCACAATTCCAACTCAGCGTACCAAATGTCGTCACCAGTCCAACCATACACACCCTTTTATCTTCGCCTTTTTGGTGATGCTGAGTCCGCCGCATCTGCGCAAGATGGTGTTGGAATCGTTCTCAGTGTTAGAGCCGAGGCTGCCCTCTTTGACTGGATTTCCAGTCAACAGTCGCCTATGCGCTGTGAGGCTCCATGGCTCTTGTAAGATTAACAGGCAACGCGCAGTCAAGCGTGCTCTTTTCGTGAGATCCGCCTACGCGCCCACTGACTGCAGCTTGGATGTAGTCAAGGCCCAGTTCTATCAATATCTTCATGGTCTGCTCCTATGGGCGCCTAAAACAGACATCGTTGTTATGACGGGAGACGCAAGCGCCCGTATTGCTTGGTTGCTGCCTTGTGAACGCCATCTCAGTGTACCACACTGATATGATGATGTTCGCTCCAGCCTTTATGCTGACTACCAAATGTCCCTCTGTACTACGATCTTTCGTCAAGTTAAACGCCACTATGCTACCTAGCGTCCGCCATCATCAACCCAGCGCTGGTCACAAATTGATCACCTGGCCATAAATCGCATATGGTGCGACAGTGTACGCGATTGCCGATAGTTTTGGCCAACTTGTGTTGACACAGATCATGCATTGATCTGTTCGTTATTTTGTATGCGTCTGGCTGTTCACCGAGGGTCAAGCAAACCCGCCTCAACACTTAGAAGTTGGAGGATCCAACAGTGAAAGCACAGTATCAACAGAAGCTTTGCGAAGATCTTGCTCTACCCCGTGCTCTGGATGTTGATCAACACTGGTCAAATCTGCAAAATGCAAAGCTGTCTGCCGGCTTTTCCAGCTGCGGACTCACTCATTGCACAACCCGAAAGTGGATTTCGGTAAGATCCTCGGAGCTGTCAGATCGTCCGTGGGCTGTGCCCGCCGGTGCGGTGCACGGTGAAGTTCGTCAGTCTATCTCTCAAAAGCTGACGTCAAGCCTTCGCTCTGACCGTGAATACTGATAGTCAAAATGAGCTGCTGTGATGGAGGCCGCTGCATCGGCTGGAAACTTCAGCAGCTTGTTCTACCTCATAAAGACCCCTAGTTGCCAATCACATGATGACAGTCAAACGACTGTTGTGTCAGACGGAAGGAAAATCACCAACCTGCACAGGCACTTGGGTCGTTGGTTAGAGCACTTTGCTTTCCAATTAAGTTGCTCAACCCAACCCATTTTGAGACCACGTTTCGCTTCAGTGGTGCTTGTTCTATCGCTCCAGACCCTCCTACCGAAACAGAGATCCGAAGTGTAAGCCAATCTTTAAAGAATCATAAAGCTCCCGGTCCTGACAGCCTATCTTAGACTCCATCAAAGTGGCGGAAATGCAGTTATCAACGAAACGCTATCACTCTTCACTAGAACTTATACCAACGAGTATGTGCCAAACGCATGGGCAGAATCAGTCATTGCCCTGATTTACAAGGAAGGCTCCCAGAAGGATTGCGCCAATTAAAGCTGAATGTCGTTGATCTCTGTTATCTCCGAGACTTTCGTGTCTGTTCTACTCCGCAGGCTCATTGTGACTAGAGAAGGCGTTTACCTAGAGGAACAAGCGGGTTTCCGTCCAGTCGAGGTTGCACTGACCACATATTCACACTCCGCCAACTGCTTGAACTCAGTCACGTACACCGACGCCCAAGAATCGTAGTGTTCTTAAACATCCGGACGTCTTTTAACTCAGTAGATAGATCTGCGTTGTGATATTGTCTACTAAGGAAAGGTGTGCTCGACATGTTTATTACCATTTCGAAGGACCTCAACAGTTACATGTCAGACAAACTTAGTGCCCACGGCACGCATTCCACTGCGTTTGCTCTCACCAGTGGCGTTCGCCATGATTGCTCCATCTTACCTTTCCTCATGAATTTTGCTATTAAGGATGCCGTCAAACGAGCATTGAAAGATCCTCAAATCTGCGGTATTGCTTCTCCCAGGTGACAGAGTCGCGGACTTGGACTACGCCGATGAGATCGCTTTGCTCGGGAACGATCATAAGCCCTCCAGAGCGTCCTGAAGCGCCTAGTGATGGCGGCATCCAAGTATGGCCTGTGTTTCAAGCCAGACAAAGGTAATGTACTACTCCAGGATTTGCTGATGCTTGTGCCTATCCACACCATTGCTAGTAACGTCCTGTAACAAGGCTACTGCTTCACTTATGAAATGCTTTGCAACACTGCTGGCGGCTGTATTTTAGATGAGGTCTTACAATGGATCGCAAACGCACACATTGCATTCGTCAGACTGAGAAACTTATGGTGCCGACGCGTTGTCATTCTCAAACGCAAGGGCAGAGTATAGGTTTCTTCATTCCGTACGGTCCATTTGTACGGTTATGAGACCTACACTACTCGCGCGTAAGACCTAAAACGATTTTAAGTTTTGGTCCTTGTTCTGCGCACGATTGCTCGCGTGTGGTGATAGCATCACTTGAGTAATGCAGAAGTCCGAGAGCGAATCTTTAAAGCAAAAAGCCCGTGTCTCCAAACAGTTGTTTCCTCACAAGGCATGCGTTAGCTCGGCAAATTATTGCGTATGCCGGTCAATCGCCTTCCCCGTCGAGCGTTATTTGCGCTTCCCGGAAGTGATTGAAAATGCGCCGGGTTGGACAATCAATGACTGGTGGAAGGAGCATGAAGAATGTAACGTTAAGCTTAGCATTCGTCGGACTGGTCCGCCTTTCAGGATGTGAACCACGAGATTCGGACTGCCAGTGGTTTGAAACCTTGGAGGTTATGTCGCGCAAATAGCATCATTAGAGACAGTGCTGTTCAACCTTGTTATCGACCAGTTAACGTTTATCCAACATAAAGCTACAAGACACAAAATACCAAAACGGCGTGGGTAAAGCGGAAAATTTCGATTCCACCATGTTTTATTTTGTAACGCCTTATTTCGCAATGTTTCTGTTGCCACATCATCTGTACTCAGCTCGTTAATATATATATATTATATATATATATATATATACGTTAACATGATTTGTGTTATTAAAGTATTGACAATTTTTGACAGCAATATGAGCATGGACTATGATAGGATCTTAGGTGTCTTGGTGAAAGCAGCATTTAGCGCAAAAGCCCGATATTACGTTTGAAAAAGAAGTCGACAATAGTTTTTTGCTATGAGGAGGGAACACCTCAGTGGTACACGTCGCCGACTGCACCAGGAAGGAACCAACGGATCCACGATGCCAGTGGTACATAGATAACGGCGTAAGAACGATATGACAAAGCAACTGAGACAGAGGGCGTCTGCTCCATTCATACCATACAGAAAACAAACTTGGCAGGGTTTTGCCGGCTGGGAGCCGACTGTAATTGACGGCAGACAAATTACTACAATAATGCCTGACAGATCTCGTGCTAGTAACAACACCGCGGTTCTGTCTTGTACTCACCTGGATGCACACAGTATTATAGTGGCTGTTTTCAGTTTGTCAAAACACCCAGTGGACTGCCCATGCGGAATGAACAAATCCTCCACCACTTCAGGCCAGTTCATCCTGAATTCTGTTGGGGCAGTTGATGCAGCATATTTGTAAGTCGATGTGCTACAAACCAGCGTCCGCAGGATGGTATGTTGCACTTCAGTTTTGAAACCTTGAGGGGTAAACACAATCACAACTCCGTCGCCAAAGCGCGGCTGGCCTCTCATCCAATCAATGGAATCCGTCACCTGAGAATAATGACCTGGATCGTTTATCTGCCAACCAACCTTTGGCCAGCCGAAAGGAAACAGCAGATCATGCATGCCGGTATGTATGGTAGAATAGTTAAGGAAGTGTGGTCTCAGCAATGTGGAGTATCGACCGACCAGAAACATATTGAGACCCCGTTTGACTCCTTCGTCGTGGCACTTTTTATGTCCATCGCAAAACCCAATCTTTCCGGGATAAGCGATGAAACATTGTCCAGACCCGACATCAGTGAAACCGGGAGGACAGGCCGACACACGTATAACAAGCAGAAGTACATAGATCAGCATATGGCCAACTATGAATTACTCCATCTTGCTCGTGTTTAATATAACTGGCAAAATCCAAAGATGACGGAGATATAGCATGACTAGCATCACAGGGAGATCCATATCTCCTCGTTTAACACGGTGCGCAACTCTGCAGTATTGCGAAGGACAGTTAGGACCAATCACGTATCAGTACGGATAACACAGGTGGCTAGTTTAAGCTCAACTCTTCCACTATACCCAAAAGAATGTGACATGAATCGCTACCGGTTATAGAGGACAGGCACTAATCCGTTTTCCCGCTTATAAGTTAGAAATTGATGCACATTGTTATCGGATTAACTGAGTCACATATAACGACAACTACCCTCTACGGACAATCGCTACTCTCTTGCCTGGCAAATCTCATCTGGTGTATGGGAGAATTGTTTGGCCCCAATTGGACAATGCACTTATGAGAATACGTATTGTTACATAGGTTACCATGCGGAACACATGATTTTTCAAAAAAATGCCGTGCTGAACTTGTTGATCCCATACAGTACAACAAATTGCTGACAAATGTAACAACTACTGGAGATGCTTCGTTGCACCCCAGGTGAATAATTCTATTGTGAATAATTGTGGTTTTGCCAGGTCCGCCTTTATTTTGGAAGGCAAAAATCTATGTTTTGAATTTTTCTTTTTGTTAGGTGGAACAATCCTATAATGACCACCGCATTCACAGCTAAGTGGATGGTATTTTCACAGCGTAAATAATCGGATGGCACTACGCGAGTAACGGTATTGTTAAAGCATCTTTTAGTTAAATGTGCACGTTTAGTTATCACAGACGTGCGTAAGCCCCTTCATACAATCTGTCACACGTGATAGGTTTTTAGTGTGCGGAAATCAATTAAGCTGCTGTACCCCTTCTCCAAAGCTTGTTAATGAACATTCTGATTCACCAAATCAAAACTAGGCACTACGAACTTCAATTATGATTACATTCAATAACAATTAGGTAACTATCACCCAGTAAACATGCCTACCCCCACACTTGAGACTTATTCAGTCAGCATATTCGGCGATCAGATCCTTGAGGACCCTAGTCACCCATACCGAACCTCATTGAAACTCTGCTTCAACGCCTCACTGAGAGGCCACGATTCTAATTTGGTCAAATAGTTTAGCCACTTGGAATGCCGCCGGAACTTCTACTCATTTCTTGTGTCCCAACCGTGGAATTTTCTGACGCATTTTATAATACATACTCCTACGTTATCCGAAGCAGAAACTTGACTTGATAGTGAATTGCATCACACGCGTTACGGGAATTCAAGTACCTGGGCAGCTATTTTATCGCCCGTGCGATCGAAGATGAGGTTAAGAACCGTACAGCAAAAGCCCGAGGCGCTTTTGCCATACGCTGCCACCTTTGACGCAGACGAGACATAACTCTTGCCCTGAAGGGCAGAGTTTAAATCGCAACCGTCCGCTCAGCTCACCTTTATGGTTATGAAACCGGACCCATGAGGTCGCCAGATAGTAAGAGGTTCGTCAAATTCGATCATCGCTGTCTTCGCAGCGATAAGCTTGGGTTTTGCGACGGACATAAAAGGTTCCCTATCGATGGAGTCAAACTGGGTCTCAATATGTTTTTGGTCGGTCAGTATTCTACACTGATGAGACCACACTTCGGGGACTACTCTGCCATACATACCGGTATGCATAATCTAGTTGGTTGTAGGATCGTCCCAGGTATATTGGCAGACTATCTATCCCGACTATCACTATTGGTTAACGGAGTCAATTGATTGAATGAGAGGCGAACTGCACCTTGGCGACGGACAGTGGTCGTTTTCACTCCGCAACATTTCAAAACTGAACTACAGGATTTCGCACTAAGGACGCTAGTTCGCAGCACCTCGACTTTTAAATATGTCGCGTCATCTAGCGCAACTGAATTTCGGATGAAACGGCCAGATGTACTGGAGCGTTTGTTCATTCCGAATATGTAGTCCACTGAGCGTTTTGACAAACTGAAAACGACCACTCTTATACTGTGTGCATGCAGGTAAGTGGAGACAGAACCGCGATGCTGTGACTGGCATGAGATTTGTTATATATTACCGTCGTAATTTGTCTGTCGTCCATTACAGTCGGCTCCCAGCCGGCGAGACCTTCAAAAAATCAGGATCCTGCATGGTTACGTTATGATACGCGCTCTGTCGCAGTCGTATCGTCATAATTGATCTTACACCGTTACCCATGAATGACTGGCGTATAGAAGGCTTTTGTTCGGTTCCCGGTGGAGTCGGGGATGTGCACCACCATTTTTTCCCTCCGCTTAGAGCAGAATTGTTGTCTAGTGATTTTACATATGTAATGGTGGGCTGTTTTGATACGAACTGACTGCACCAAGATATCTGCAATCCTACTATAGCCCATACTCACAACTGCTGTCACAGCTTGCCTCTGCCTAAATAACTAGACCCATGTTATCACATTCATTAAGTTTCACGCTGTTTAAGATCTTTGTCACCACAGATGTGCTGCCAATGTGTCAGTGGGATGTCACACGAAATGATGGTTCGTGTACATTAGTTATGTGGTCTTTGCGCTGGTGAAGCACTAGGCATGCCCTTCTAGTCTAGGATCAGCTGTGGCTCAGTCAGTGTTTGGCAATATCTGGCACATATCACTCCGATATTTGGCATATACGAGGGCTGTAAATTAGCGGAACTCTGAACTAGCAATATAAACAAATCATTTAGTGAACGTGGAATGTTAATGTACTCTGTTACACTACCATTTTATTTTGTTGGTTAGATAGCTTTGCTCCACCCTTTAGTAATAGTTTGATGAGTGAATAACAAAGTGACACCCATCACTGAGCAATTTAGGTTTAAATCTGTAGCTAAGCCTGGAAGCTCGCAACCTGCATAACGGCGTTCGTGGGTCAGTTAGTAGGAGGTTTTTCTAGAGTCCCTCTCTGCTTCGCATATGTACCTTCACAATCGGTGGACGTATTGCCTAGTGCGCTCTACTCACGGCAGCGTACGGACACTCGCGGAAGACCGAAGCACCCACATTCTCCAGACGATCGGAGACCTGCTAGGAAAATAAAAGAATTATGGCGCGGTTCTTCGCATTACTATCTTGTGGGGTAATGGTGGAACGGAGGTATTCACACGAAACCGTAAATAAATTGCATGTTTGCATAAGCCATCCTGGATAACATCATATATGGGCGAACATGAGAAATATAGCTGTTCTGTCCTGGGATATGTCTGAGTCAACATGGTACGCATAGGAAGTTGAATTAAAATATTAGTCAAGGTCAAATGTGGTATTGTAATTAAACATACTGGAATCTCATTGCTTGGTTCTCATGGGTACTACTCAGAAGTTAATCATGGAGGATGTAAACGTGATGAGACGGAATCGTATTCACTAGTGACACCGCAGATCTAGCTTAAAAGCTCCACGTGCTTAACGCAGCTGTAGTTGCCGGGGTTGAAGCAACATCTAGTAGTTCATTAATTAGAAATTGCAAATCAGCCGCTACTTCACAGTCAGCCATAATATATGATACAATTTGGTTTTATTGCAGTTGACCGATCAGATTTCGTTTTCTTCTGATGGTTTCCGGTGACACCATGTCCGCCGGTGCACTATGTCAACTACCAGTCACTGGGTGTTTTTCACAAAGTAATCTCCACTTAGCTTTTGCACGATGTGCGAAGACTGCATGAGTTTCACAAGGTCCTGAGATGTCACAACTTAAATGCATGACGTTTCTATGTACTGCCATGGTACCTTGTTTCAGGTGCAAAATTAAGTTAGGGTGCCGCGTAATGTACTATAATGAGAAGTCTGGCGATTGCTATCACTCGATGTACCGTGACTCGCGTCTACCATAATGGTGGCGTGAATTTCGCGTTCCTGGGTGCGTTATGCAAAGTCACTTCCGTGAATCGCCTGTCAAACGTGTTATTAGCCATTTTGAAGACAGAGTTGTTCTGTGTCATTCTTCAGTTGTTAAATAAAATGCATACGAGCCGAATACAGGCCATGAGTAGAAATCTGATGTCCAAACCTGGGAATTATTTTCATTGTTTGTCGGCTGGTTTGTGGGTTGCACTTGAGCTAATTAAACTACTGCGTGCTATTCCAGTAAATTTTCCTATCGCTAAGCACCAGTGTATTACCTGCAATAAATGCCCTCAGAAACGGAAAGTGTCAAGGAATTAGCTGGTCAAATCTGTACTTTCAGCAAAATGGCAGCGTGATCCGGTGAACCAACTTACTGATAATCTGAAATTAACAAATTCAAATTAAATACAAGTTAAATTTTGAGTTAAAGCAATTCTGTATCAAGTGTTGTCGTTTGCCTGCTAAGTAGACTCATACCATCTCGGGGCATATGTTCTCACATAGTGCATATTCTACACTAAACTATAGATGTCACAGAACTACTCAAGTACTTTTAAAGGCAAGCGTCATTGCTAGCTTTGGAAGACAATACCGCCAGTATTTCTAGCAATTTTCGTGTCACGTTTAATCTTATACTCTAATAGAATCTTGTGGTATGCATATAAGGGCACGGAAAAGCCCGCTCAATCAGTTCAGCTGAAATTATAATTTGGAAAGGCTAAACTTCTTGTTAAGTCTAGCAATGTGTTTAAGGCAAGAAAGAATATTTACCTTTTTGACAGAAATACTTGCAAAGCCGGTGACCAAATGAATTTTGGCCGTTTTGTTACGCTGCTTTTGCTACACTAGTAGACTCCGCGCTCATCGCTGTCAACCTTCAACCTAGATTCCCCAGCAGAACGTGTCAATTGACAGGCCAATTCCTGGTCTAGGATTATACTCATTGGCGTTGACAATTCTACCCTTATCTCTACTATACCTACCTACGTCTACAATGGACATGCATCTTGACAGCTTAAAAGCATTCGACGGCTTGGACCACCGCATTCCGCTTCACAGGCTCGAAAATTATGGAATTGGTGATCCGGTGCTTAGGTGGATCC